TCATATTTAACATTTTTGAAATTTAAATATTGTAAGTTTCTACGTTACAACTAAAACCCATCACTTTATCCTAGGAAATTGAAATAATTTTAAACAATATACTAATAAATTTCCTCCTTCATTGAAATATGTATTAGGTGACGTTGAACCGGTACTATAACATAATTTTGATGAAAATCTAAAATTTAAAGTTACTCATTTTTTTTTCGTACAAGGTGCATAATTCTTATATAGATTTTATATAAACTGTGCATCGCATGGGTTCTAACCTAGTTATTTAAGCATTCATGTGTTGATTTGAATTGATTAACAACTGTCCTTCCGTAATCCATTTATGGTCTATAAAAGGGAGTGCCCACAACAATTTCCATCAAAGGTTATGCCTTGTGAATTACCTTAACATAAAAGATTACCAGGTGAAATTTCCTAATAAATCTATTTTGGCATGAAATTCTTAATATTAAAGCTGAAACGTGCAAAGTACATGGAAACATTTAGCTGGACCAAGCCCCGGGCTTTTCAGGCCATCACATTCATTATCAGATGTGAATTTGCTTGTAATTTATTAAAGTTACACGGACTTTTGGCATGTGCATCTATGCACTCAGCAGAAGTTTTTTATCAACTATATTGCATGGGAACACTAGCTTACTAATCAATTCATCTGTTACATGGCTTACTGAGCTAGGCGTTGAAAAATTTCCTAACCTTGGAGATGCTAAAATTTTAATTTATAGGACTGTAGAAGTAAAAAATTTCACCTACTTACTTTTAGTCACTTGAGATAGTGATTCAAGGCTAGACTACTGCTTCTAAAGATAAACAGATGTGGTGTGCCCTGTAACAAATAGCTTATTTTTGTTTGATCTCTGTTTGTTTTTTCAAGAAAAAACCCTTAGTTGGTGTGCTAATGCCTTGTAGGAATCCATAAGCCTTAATTTTTTTTTTTTATCTTGTCTGCATTGGATCGTAAGGGATGGAGGAGGAAGTTTTTTGTCGATGACAACACGGAATAATCAAATTTGGTTCATGTAGCCGACCCACTTATGGGATTAAGGCTTTGATTGATTGATTGATTGATTGTGCCCATCTCTGAAATCTTGTCTCCATTTCTTTCCTTTTTGAATTTAGTAACATTTTGATATTTATAACTAGAGACAGACAAGTTACCGAATATATTCTCCATCCCATTAAACATGGCAGTCTTACTTCTGCACATACTCCAGAGTTGTGTTTCAAGCTTTCAACGTCCTCAAAATAGATACATTCTGAAATACTCTCAAAATGCCCCCCCTAAAGTCAAAAGGTACTGCTTTAGATATGTTTCGAGTTGTTTTCTTCACAGGTTTCTGCTCCAGAATCATCATATAAATAACGGAGGAAAATCTTTGTAAAGCCGTGATCTTTGCTGATCAAAGTCAAATGGGGGTCTTCTGAATTCTGTTTTCTGCTTTCTCAGATATCTGATTTCAGGAGCAAAATTTATGCCTGTGCTATCTGATGCAGCTTTGCATGCGACTCACCAGCCACTGGAGCAAGATATTCTCTCTTTCTTCGGGCTGGTTGTGACAGACTATCACTCAATTTGCAGGCAGATTTGTCATGATCACCTATATTATTTTTTGAATTCCCCTCTCCCTCCGCTCAATTCGCAGGCAGATTTATCATATATTATTATTTTCAATCTTTTCCCTCGATTGCTCAATTTGGAAGCAGATTCTTCCTTTTCACCATTAATATTTTCCTTAAATTCTCCTCTACCACTCAATTTCTTGGCAGATTTGTCATTTTCACCAATAGTTCCGACTTCTCTCTCCATCTGGACATGTACTTGATTGCTTGTTTAAATCCTTTTTTAAACATTGGCTTCAAGTGATGGCTGACTTTAGGGAAAAAAGAGGTGGGGGGAAGATACACGTTTTCCGGGTTTCTGTTCTTCCTCTTTTGATTTATTTTTTATATTTTTTTTATACGAAAGGTGATGTTCCAAATACAATTTTTAGCATATAATATTTTTTTCTTAAATATTTAGCTGACATTTCCTTGTTTCGTATATAATTAGCTTCATCTTTTAATGTTCATAACTTGGGCATACATTTTAGAACTCATGATCCTTGTAAGCTTTATAGAGATAAATAATGAGTATGAGTTTTCTCCACCTCTTTGAGTAGTATGTATGTTTATGATCTATGATTGAGATCATGAATTCATTAACCTAACAGTTATAATGTAGTCCCAAACTCTTCTGATGTTTTTTAAGATTTAAATTTCCTGATTAGTAGTGTATATTATGGTTTACTTATTTCTTGTTATGATCTCATTTGCAGGTATTTGGACTGGTATGCGTACTGTGAGATATTTTGATGGGAAAACTTATGAGTGGGTTGGAATAAGCCGCCAACCAAATATAATTGGGAAGGTATGTCTTATGTTGACTTAGTGGAAGTGTGATTATTGTATTGGTTATTGTTGTTAGGTTATTGAAATCAAAGAATAGTCCCACTGTTATTACTTCTTTCATGGCTATCCTGCTAGGATAGCATTTGCTGGAAATTTTTCTTCCTTATTTTGGGAAATAAGCCTAATTTAAATTGAGATTGGGCTATGCAGCCCCTATTTCAGAGTGCATCCCAAGGCAGATTATGCCCTCCACTCACCACTCCCTAACCACATGGAGCCATAATTCCTTAGGGGTCAGAGGTGAGGCAACACAGCCCTACTACGCCTGTGCTTCAAACAAACTTCGTAATTCCATGAATATTGTCTAAGATTTCTGTGGCCTCTATTTGTAATCTTTCATTCTGTTGAAAACTCCTTTTCGCTGATAATTTTTCCTGCTGACAATATGGGTCAAATTTTCAAGAACCTTGTCATAGTGGCATTTCAACTTTGTGGTTGATGAACCATCCATTTCTTGAATTCTGCAGGTTAAACGTACTTTAGGGCAATTTACACCTGCACGGTGGGATAAAGATGAGTGGCATCCGCTGCTTGGTCCTTGGCGTTTTGTACAAATTCTCTTTCTGTGCATTGTGTTTTTGACAGTGGAGTTAAACACATTTTTTCTCAAGTTCTGTCTTTGGATTCCTCCCCGCAATCCCATCATCATCTACAGGTTGATTTTATGGTGGCTAATTGCTATTCCAACTATACGAGAATACAATTCATATCTACAGGACAGGTATACAAATCCTTCCTTTTTATGGCCTAGGTAAATTTCGATTATTAGTTCCTTAATTCTCTTATTTTGAAATCCCTTGTTGCATGATAAGTAGCAAAAGGCTACCTTCAAGGCATATCACATTCTCTTCTTCCTTTTTACCCTTACAGAAAACCAATAAAAAAGGTCGGGGCATTATGCTGGCTTGCCTTGGCTATCTGCATTGTCGAGTTACTCATCTGTATCAAGTTTGGACACGGTGTGTTCGCTAATCTATGGATACTCAATTAGTAGATGAGCTATTCAGTAGTTTGTCATTGAAATTTCCGTTATAATACTTTCTTGATTCTTAATATATTTCTTTGGTCTTCCAGGATTATACCCAAATCCAATGCCTCTGTGGCTGGTGATTTTTTGGACGTCGTTTGGTGTAGGAATTTTGATATTTTTGTTGACATGGACTTGGAAATTGCAAAAATATTCAGAGAAGAAGAGAGACTAATTTACATTACATGAGGATTGTGGGGATGGTTCATGCCTATACCTTTCTTGACTTGTAGCTGTTTGACTGTAAATACTTTTTTTTTTTCATGCAATTTGTAAATGCTCATTGTTTGAACATTAGATCACAATTTTCCTTTTAGAGGTATTTTTTCATGTCTTGAAGAGTTATAGGTTAATATTTTCCTTCTAATCTAGGTTGTGGATATGTCTTGTTCCATTACTAATTTTGGTCATCTTGGTTGTATTCTTTTATTCTTCAGCGTTGTTGTATTGTACAAATGAGCACTATTTATTTGAATGCCCTACGCCATTTCTTTAATGGAGAATTCTCGGTTATTTGTGTTTGTATTGAGGTAGTTAAAGGTTTTTAAGCTTGTGTTGTAGCTAATTGTGGACATTGCTATATCTATGCACTCGTCAGATAACCACAACTCGCACCAATAGTGGCACTGACTGGCTGAGGATTGATTGCACAGCCAGGCCGCCTCTTTAGGATTGTGATAAACAGCACAAACTTTCCCCAAGTACAATTCAAACATTATATAGCTTATAATATTATACAATAAAAATTTTCTGGTTCCTAATTGTATTGAATTCTTGAAAATTCAGATGGTGCTTACTATCCAAATCTAATTAGGTACTCCATATGTTTACAAGTGAAATGTTTCTCTTGGCCAATGCAAAACTTTGAATAATAATATCTTTAATCATCAAATATTTATAATTATTCACTGAAACGATTTCAAAAAGTATTGACAAGATTATCTTTTTTTCTATGTATAAATTACTGACAATTATATTTGTCACACTAGATTAAGTGAATAGAGTAAGAAATCAAAACTTTTTACTTAAAAAAATATGGGACAACTTAAACAGTCCATTTTATCTTGAAAATTTTTAAGTCACTAGATAGGGAGGAATAAACTACCTTGCCAAGAGCCTCCGTTGTGAGGGCAGATCTGATTCGATCTCCCATTATCATCCAAAAAAAACCGTTTTGTTACTTGGTAGTTTATAGGTTTCAATAAAATTAATATGAACGGGTCAGTAACTATATTACATCTGATATTGATGACGTATTCCTCTTCTGTTTCGTGTTACAACAGTATAACGTATAAACTATTAAGAATAAAGGACTAGAAATGTTATAAAACAAAACACAGAAAAGGCAAATACCAGAGGTCTAAACAAAAAAATGAACCTGCTGATACATGTGAATAGAAACAAACACGTATGAAGAGAACCAAAATCCAGTACTAGATTAACAGATTAACAAGAGGCCTAAACACAAGTATTACGTCGTTGCTTCCATTGGTTTAAAGGCAGTCATAATAACTGAAAAAATGATGAAGACAGGATACCTGCCTAAAGAATAAATTTATATCATACAACAGATAGGAGCAGGAGAATCAATCTCCTTGATTGCAAAGGTACTGCATTGATAAATTTTCTAAGCTATACTGAGGCACAAATCGTTTTTGTACAAATGGACTAATTACCAGTAATAGTCCCTAATCTCTCTCTAGTTGCAATTTACAATATAGAATTGGATGTAACCTTTTCTGTGACTACTATCCCAAAATGGGGCGACATGTAAAGAGCAAAGCTCTTTTCCTAGCCATTCCGCCCCCAACACTTCCCATCCCATCACCCCCCCCCAATTTTCCTCTACATGCAAAATATACAACCAATATATGGCAGTGTATTTCCTACCAAGCATCTAGAAGGTACTAAATGAACTCTATAACTCCCATTTTTTTGTACACATAATATCATCTGTGCTCATCTTCTTTCGAGAATAATCACCCTGTCCCCTCCAATTTTTCCACTTTGGTCAAAGGCAAGCATTTCCCATGGTGTTCTCTCATGAGAATGTTGACCATCGATATTTTTCCCCTTCGATCATGAACAAGCACTTCCCATGGTGTCCTCTCACCAGAATGTTGACAATCAATAACAGACTGGTGAATAGACTCAACTCGATCACACAACTATCCAGTCTTAAGGCCTCATCAGGCTCTGCATGCAGCATCTGCTGAGTGCAACCTGCTAATGCAGTTTCCAGTCAGCACATGTCAAGTATCAGTTGTGACACCTCTTGCTCTTTTTTAGCAGCATTGACATGTGATTAACATATTCATTGCCCATCTGGGTACCACCCATAAGCCACTCTAGAGCTTCAGAAGCTGCATCTTTCTCTGCACTCTTCTTGTTGTTGCAAGGTCGCCCCATGATCTGCATTCCATTGAACTCTACAGTAGCTCTGAACTGATTATTTGACAGTTGCTTCACTTTATATGTAGGGGCAGTATACCCGGCCCTTGTAACTAAAGTTTGAAGTTGACTCTTAGAGTTATCACCGCCAGGTCCACTTTGAGTTCTAGAAGACAAAGCCGGAACCATTGGTGAGATAGATGATTTAGTAACAGCAGGCTTTAGAATCTGGCGGCAAAACACAAATCGACCATCACATTTGTCCTCTGTAACAAGAAGCTTAATGGCAAACAGAAGGTCCTGATAAGCGCATGTATCCATTCTGGGATTTTGGAGCTGCAAGCAAAATAAATATTATTGTAAGACTTAACACCAGACAGCATTAAGCTGTAAATGTGTGGAGTGACTTCATATCTAATCAAATTGGAGAAACAAAAGCCTCCACAATTAGTCATACTAAGTGAACATTATATTTATTTATATATCGACTCCCATTGAAATTTGGACTCAGAGAGCTTTTGTAACGAGAATCAAATTTGCAACGAGCTTTTCTTACTTTGAGCTGTATGAAATCCTCCAATTCTCTCTTCAGGTTCAAGTATGTTTCTGCCATCATAGGTTTCATAAAAAATTCCAAGTATCCTCCCAGCATTTTCAGATGTCCATCCTGCCACAACACAGTATTGAGTGGAAATGAGGATTGCTTAAATTATAGTAGTACACAGAACCAAAGAGTTCAATTTAGACATTACCATGTTTCTGAAATGAGTTAGAGGATCAAGGAGTGGAAGGGTGGTTAGTCCCTCTCCCTCCATCTCCCCCCTGAGTGGTGGGGGTTCGATCCTCACCCCCACCCCCCCACATCTTACCCAAAAAAAAAAAAAAAAAAAAACAAAACATTTCTGAAATGAGGATTGTTTTAGGGTAAAGATGACTCTTCTTACCATTTCCCCTTTGTCAATGTTTCCTCCAAATAGCAACACCACAGAATCCGACACTGCAGTTGAATCACGCAGGAAAACTGAGTTGACTTTAATTTTCTCATTGAAAACAAGCCATGGATATGGAATTTTTGCCTCACGGGCATTAACAGAATTCTGCAGCATAGAGACAAAGATTAATTCCTCAAGGATACACTGGATATATTATTGAATTTGAATTTTAAATACTCAGTAAAACAATTAATTGTGTGTTTGGTTTCATATCCAAACAAGAGAGCTGAAGAAATGATCTTACCGAGTAAAGGTGCACCTGACCATCTTCCATTGTCTTTAATGATAAAGATTTCTCATTGTGCTGTGGGAAAAATTAAGCCCATTAGTACATAGAAACTGCAGTCTGCAGGTGTGATGAAGCAACTGAATTTAAAGATAATAAAAGAGAGCAGCAGAGACTGAAGTAATTCAATTAGCACATAGAAACTGCAGTCTGCCAGTGTGATGTAGAAACTCAGCTTATAGATATAGAGACAGCAGAGACACACAGCATACCAAATCATTTTATGATCATGCAAACCTTCTAATTTGTCCAGCTAACTACCTCATTATAGCTCCAATCAAACTTCTTCAGTAGTTTAAAAAAACTAGATACCAGCTCTGGTTTGCTACAAACTCCACCCCCCCCCCCCTCACCCCCCTCCCCCTCCCCACAAAAAAAGGCAAAAAGAACGCAAACATATAGTGACCCCTAATGTTGGGGGCAAACTTCTACTTTTTATTTCCATTAGCCCTGTTGAGGTTTGACTTAACCATCCAATGTACATAACTGAATTAGTGACTTACTATCACAAGTGTTTTTTTTTTTTTTTTAAAAAAAAAAAATTTGTAACAGTTTAAAGATATTTTAATGTTCAGTTTTATTGGACTAATATATCTTAAAACAATTTTTGGAAGTACAGTCAACAAACAGGGTCTTCAAAAAGGGTTTTTTAAGAAACAACTAGTAGATATGCAAAGTTATGGTTGTGACCAAGAAGGGAAATGTGCAAGAGAAAACAAGCTAGTAATGGCAGAAGTATCACTCTTACAACTGAAGATTGATTCTATTTGAGCAATGGGGGAAAAAGAAGTGAGGAGTGGAACAGGAAGGGATTTCAAAAAATGGGTGTGGAGGATAAGGAAAGGGAGGTAGGGACCAACAAAGGGGATGCCAGTTCCCAGTAGACAATATGGCAGCATGGCCTTGATGACCACTGATATCACCAACAAAATTCAAGGAAAGATTATATGTTGTGGTTTAGATGTAATAAAATTTAAAGATGTTTTTTCTTCCTAAAGTTCACTTCCTGTTATTTATTCAAGGGATTCCTGACGATATAGCATCGCAAGGTACATTGGCATGATATGAACCCTTGCAAAATTCATAATAACATAGATTCATGCACAATAGTTTACAGGATACTGATTGCCATGGAGTGAGGAAGACAGGTTTTAGGCTTTTAGCTAATAGTTAAACCACTCACCACAACAGAGCAGATTCCTGGATACAATCCATAGCATATAACTGCACGGACAAGCTTGTCGCCATGGTTCCATCCGTTGAAGGAAGATGGGTTGTCATCAACTAGTCCGGTATCCTTCAACAAAGTATAGAATTCCTTCCGAAGGGAATCAATTGCTTTCATGGACTGTACTGAGAGAAAGTTTTTCCAGCAGTAGTCATAACCACTGTATTCTTTCTCAGCACTTTTCCAGCCATCATAAGCACGCACAAGTGCAAGATGGTCACTATAATCACGCGAAAATTGAGCTTTAGCAGCCTCTGCAAGCTGAAGAGAAGAACCAACACAAATTTATAAAACTTCAAAAATATCATAACTGAATTGCATTAAGTTATTTCAAAGTACATAAAAGAACTAAACATAAAGAAAATAAATAGGTACACTTGGGCACGTGACCCATGGAAGGGATTAAAAAGTAAAATTGCCATTCAGCACATAAAGTGTGAAAAATTTAATATGATGGAAACAGACTGAAGTACCCTGACAGGCAACTTACAAATAAAAAGAAGCATACTACACAAAATCTCATCAGAATACCTATATTACGGCCCTTGTACCCGCTCTTATTCACCATGTGAATTTACACAAACATCATCAAAGGAGTGTTTGCATTGAAATTATAATGGGGCTGCAAATTTTTATGGTACTTGTTGGGGTAAGATGTCCTCTAAGTCAAGCATCCAACACTGTTTTCCTTATTCCCCATACTCCCAATCCACCCCCCCTCCCCCCACCCCCTTTATAATTTGTCATATTAGAAAAACTACCAAGTCATTGATATTATTTGGACTCTAGATGTATTTATGTTTGAATTCTAGTTATAAACTATAATTCTCAAATGAGGAACAGAGTTGTGAATTCCAATTCTTTGATATAGCAAATGACCAATGGATTCTGAATTTCAGATTTTCATTGAACCAAAAAGTAGGCAAATTCAAACATTCATTCAGACACTGCATAAAAAGCCTTATTTAATTTAATAAAATAAAAACTTGCAGTAATAAAGTAATAAAGTATTATTAGCTAGGATTCAAAAAAAAAAAGGTATTATTAACTTGCAAATTTATATCAACAGCCATTGATTTTTGGACAGTCCCTAGCATTACTCCACTAATTCTTGGAGGCAAATGATACTACACATATTTTCAAATTCGCTACATTGTCTGTCAAAATGAATAATTTGATTGTTTTATACAGAATCACAGATACCACGTACAAATGAAACCTGATTAATTGGATGTCTATCCTTCCATATTGAGAACCCCACTTCACACTAATAATCTAGTAGGAGAACAGAAAGTCTTGAAAGGGAAAAGAGGATGACAAAGCAATTCCATCGATCCAAATTGTTTATAACTACGGTTCCATTGTCAATAGTAAAAGTTTCCACAAGACGAAAAAAAAAAACCTCCATTTGACTGATTATTCGTGATGAAAAGGGTCTACAACAAGATATAATGCCTACTAAATTACTCTTTTTCAGAATATATTTAGGCCAGAAGGTAAGTTTTACATTCAAAAGCATAACTCAAGTACAATAGCACTTGACGCAGGCAATATGTGGGATCATTTTTCAATAATCTACAGCTAGTTTTATACTCAAGCACAATGCTACTAATAATATTTACTAACAATTTTAATGTTTAAAATAAAAATAAAAAACAAAAACCTACTGACTAAGGATATTACTGACATTTTAAGGGAAAACCATCTTTCTTACCCCTTACCTTGGTACTTTCACCAACCCCTAACAAGTGATTATAAAAGTACTGATGTTAATTAGTTGTCGAATATATAGTAGGCCGCTTTTGATCACACTTTGATGTACCATATAAACCATGGTGAATGAATGCAAACGTTTGCCTAAATTAAGATCAGTTTTGTATTCCCTATCAATTATGTCAAGGACTTAATTTACGTCAATGAACATAAACGTTTGCCTAAATAAAGATCGATTTTGTATTCCCTACCAAAAAACCTAGGTAACATGGAAATGACAAAGGTTTCCCAAGAGGGAACATTATAGATTACGGTAAACCATCAATTTTGAAAACAAGAACGAACACACACACACACACACACCCCACACACACACACACACACACACACACACACACACATATATATATATGGGAGGGATCCGTTGAGAATAGGTCCATATGTGAGAAATCATACTTATATGAGGATTGAGTAAAAATTTAGAACATATGACTAAAAATTTAGAACACATGATTTTGAAGTTTAGAACATATGAGTAAAATTTAGAACATCTGATTTAGTTTAAGAACGTGTGAGTAAAATTTTAAAAACTTGATTTCAAATTCAAATCATATGAATAATAATTAGAACATCTGACTTAAGATTTAGAACATGTGAGTTAAAATTTAGAACACTTGATTTAAAATTTATAACATATGAGTAAATTTTGAACATGTGAATAAAAGTTTGGAACATACGACTAATAATTTAGAACATATGATTTAAAATCTAGAACATATGATTAAAAATCTTAGAACACAATGCAACTTACAATTTAGAACATATAAGTTAAGATTTAGAAAAATAATTTAAGATTTAAAACTTGTGAATATATATATATATATATATATATATATATATATATATATATATATATAAAGGAAGGGTTTAAATTAATTATAAAATTAAAATCGTCTTTTAGTCATAAGATTTTATATCAAGATATTAGACGAATGCGAAAAAAAAAAAAAAAAAAAGAGTTATAACTAATAAATATAAAATTCAAGTGACACGTAAATAATAACCAGCAAAAGAGATCACAAATCTTAAAGAATTTCAACAAAATGACAATTACCTTTTTTTGTAAGGGGTTTAAACAAAATATTATAGGGGTATTTTTGTTTATATTTTATTTTTATTAGTTGTAGGTGAAGATTAATAATTAAAAAAATTAATTTAAAACTAATTTTGGCTATGGAGAGGGGGGGGGGGGGTGGAGTATTGACTTACGTCTTTCTTGTCCATAGGTGTCAGAAAAGGATCTCTTACACTAAGGCCAGCAACAATGGTCAATACAGGATCCAGGCAGTTAAATATGGCACCTAACACCAGCATTTTCCCAAGTTTTGGCTCCATGGGTAGCATTGTCAGGTATCGACCTGCCAAAATATTGATGACATTAATGTTATCAAAAATTAAATTAAAAATTTCAACAAAGATCCCAGCAGGCAGAGAAGACTGCATAATATATCTGACCACACACCTAGAACAGTGAGATTTTCATCTGCGTCCAACGCCCTGATGACCTTCAAATATTCTATAGCATTTTGAACCTATAAAATTAAAAGCATAATATACATAAATGGATGAATGTTGTGAAGAGTGCAAATTAGGAAGCCAAAACAGCTGAAGCGAGAACATTCCAAAAGTATAATTTAACACATTTCACACTAAGAAAAGAAGGATCTAAAAAATTTAAGAATTTAAAAGTTACCGCCAGTAGTTCGGGTGACTGTAGAGCACTGGACAAGAACTCAGAGATACTGCCAAGTTTTAAACTTTTGATCTGCAAGCAGAGAGACTGTAGAGGCGTCCTCAGAATTTCTGGAAACTGGTATTCTGCAAAAGCATCATACACACATCTAGGATAGAGATGGTAACATTCTCCAGGTTGAACACGGCCAGCCCTTCCTCTTCTCTACATTAGTAAGGAATAAATTCAGTGAGGACATTTTCAGCGGCCAACAAGTACTTTATTAATTACTACCTTTATTCTTAACAGTTCTTTAACACTTTCCCCATTAGTCTGTTCCTTAAATTTTTTAAGCTTTTACTTTATTCTATTTATGGCAAACTCAATCAGCTACCTTACCCCGCAATATTTACACTTTCCCACTAACTCTCTCTTACTTATTCCACATTTTTTCTTACGCCAACTCACCTTTTGACTCCCTCTCTCTTACTTAATCCGCTTTTTCTTACACCCACTTACCACATAAACGCTCTAATTTCAATTGCCTAAATTCTCATGAGAATAGTCAACATCGAGAACAAATAGGAACACAGGTAGTATGCCAATACATAGACTTCAGTGATGCTTCGGAAAATAAAACTTAGTTTTAAAATTCTCTATGTATATTGTGCATTACAAGATTTAATTAACACCTATTTGTTTGAATAATCTTGGTGCTAATTCACCATAAATGGCTTTAAACAAAAGGTTTTTGTCATACTACCTTTCAGCTAGATGCCTTCTCAAAAATATTCATTTAAATTATTAAACACCTTTTATATGGTTTTCGTGCTATTTACCATGCTTGAAATTTAAGTGACCATTTTGTCCACATCATCATGAATAATAGTCATATGCGATATTTGCAACAACAACAAAGCATTATTCCCAAAATGATTTGGGGTCGGCTAACATGAATCGTCATAAAGAACCGTAAGATATAAAGAAAGGGACATAACAAGATAATCACTTAAAAGAGTTTGAAAAAAGGTGTGTAAAATGAGAAAAAGAAAGAGCATTCAAGAAAAATTAAGGGAGTTTTAAAAGAGAACCAAGAATAAAATTCAAAAAAGTTTTAAAGGAATGGTTAAAACGTTGGGAGTAAAAAACATAAAGGTTTGAGAAAACTTTAGCACAGGAAATCAATACAGTTCGTAGAACACGAGTGAAATAAAATAATAAAAGTAAATACTACCTCCGTTACATATTAGTTGCAACTTTGGAATATTTTATCTCTCACAAATATTACCCAAAGTTGCAACTAATATGTAACAGAGGTAGTACTAAAATAAATTTTAAAAAGTATATATATAATCATGACATGTTGTTGACGTGAATTTTCTCCCTTCACACCCTATCCAACACCATATTTTCCTTAATCCCCAAAGCACTCATGTCACTCTCAATCACCCTCTTCCAAGTTTTCTTAGGTCTTCCCCTACCTCTCGCGATCCCAACAATTTGCTCACCCTCTTCCAAGTTTTCTTAGGTCTCGTATGCGACATTTATAATGGAAAAATAGTCAATTCAGGTGGCTGTAATTAGTAAAAACTAGTTTAAAAGGTATGAGGATATAACACATTTTTTATATTAGTGATTTCTCAAAAACACATTTCTTTAAAAATATTATATGAAAGGAGAAATGATGAGGTGCCAGGGAGTCAAGAATTTCCTTTAATTTGCACAGTTATCCTGGCATACAAGGGATTTTAACAGCTAGATGGTGTTTTAGGCAGTACGACCATAGATTACATTAAAAACCTCATGCAAAGAATGATGGCTTTAGTCAAGAAGTTATTTTCACTCCTATGGTGTGGATATTCATCACCTAGGCTTTGTGTCAGCGTTGCATATGAATACATGAGAGTCAGACGAGTCATGTTTCATGCACATTGAAGTTGTCACATACATGGACAAGGGTGCAAACTTTAAATTTGTTGACACCTAATAAAGCCCTAAAGCTGAATAATTCAATTTGGAACACAATGCTTCAAAACTCTTTGGGATAGGTACATGTGGACCCTAGCTAGGCCACCTACAGTCCATGATGAGAAATTGTGTGTATTTTAGTGAATGCTAAAACTGTTGATATAGATTAATAGTTATTCATGAACTCCCTTGATTCCATTGTTATTTGGGTCACATTTTGCAAACCCACTCCAAATTTTCCAAATATTTACAAAATTTGCACTCTGAATATTCCATTTTACTTCAATCAGCATCAAAATTGAAATTTCAGACTTTCGTCTCCATAATTTAACCGTCCCTTGTGCTCTAGACACAACTGATTACGGAACTTCATCTTGTAGAGACTTTGTCAACTCGTCAATAAACACTGCAAAGAGAAACAGATTTGTATTGATGAGTGTCCCTCTTACACTTGCTCTACCAATTGTTCTCACTATACTGTACAGATCCTCCACTGATACTCCTGTCACCATATGCTAAATGAAATTCAGTTCGAAATTCAGCAGACATTAACATCTAGTTTCCATTCAAGATTTCAAGGTACCCCTAAACCCCGAGCCAATCAGCTCTATTACAATGCAAAAAAAATAAAAAATGTCAGAGTTCCCGGGATCCAATAAGGAAGAAAATGTTTCATTATTCACTCCGTCCACCATCTAGGCAAGTGGGCATTAATCCAGGATAGCCTTTACATTGGCAGGAGGGGAACAAAGAAAATGCAGTACAGGTTTATGAATATACAACACCATATGCTAAAGGGAGATGATGACTCACTCATTCAAACCCATACACACTCAAACATGTTGGACAATAAACAAGAAAAGAATGAATTCACCGGGATAAGCCTGAAGTGGTCCTATCTAAACAAATATGATACAAGTTCACAACGAAAGTTTCATATCCTTGAATATGTGTTGGACGCAAGAGAAAGTTACCTGTTGGGCAGAAACCTTTGCAATCCAAGAAGGAAGCAAGCAAGGAGTATTATTTAAGGCATCATATGATGTCTCCTTTGCCTTGCCACAGTCAACAACATAAACCACATCATCAATGGTGATACTCGTCTCCGCAATATTAGTAGCCAGCACTATTTTCCGCACCCCATCTTCTGGTTTCTCAAATATTAGCCTCTGTCCAAATCAATATGCTCAATGTAAAATTGATGACAAATGACAAAAGAAATGAGGAATGAAATAATGACATGAAGTTCAGATGAAATGCCATCTCATAGAACAGGCAAGAAGAAATGAGTTCAGTTACAAGTAATATTGCAAGACAAGCAATTTACCTGTTCCGAACTTGCCATAGAACTGTGGCAAGCAAGCACCAAGACTTTATTTGGATCCCCCAAGATGGGATGAGCTTGGAGTTTGTCCTTAAGTGAACTTATGTCATCCCATCCAGTCATGAAAACTAGCACAGCACCAGGCCCTTCATTTTCACAAATATTACATAACAGATTTTCAATCAGATTAAACCCCATGGAATCTGGATTCCAACAAGCTAAAGATTCCCTAGTCTGTGTACTGTACTCTCTGAAGTCAGCAGCAGCAAGAGCATCCTGGAAAATTACAAACATAATATAAAAAATAAAAATTTAAGACTACAAAAGAGACATAGTAAACAAAATAGAAGTCCAAGCCATTTAGCTGCTTACCTCAACAACTGAGGCAATTTGACTCTTTCGTTTCCTGAATCCCTGTTTGTTCATCTTCCATGATCTATCTGGACCATAATCATCTATCTGATTGTAAGGAGTCATTCTATATCCAGACATTTCCAATATATCTTCAAGGAAATGAGTTCGAACAGGGTAGGTGAATCCCTAGAAAATCCAAAAGTACAGAGGTAAACGTCAATAAGTTCAATCAAAAAGCAACAAACCAAATAACCACTATGAACATGAACTGTAGCTTTTAAAGAATTGCAAAGTCAGAAATTACAACGCCAGCGTATCAAGCATCATCAAAGATTCAAATAGATTCAGGGGGTTGCAGACGCCCTAAAAATCCTTGGTTTACATATCTAATAGATAAAAATTAGGAAATTGTTTGGTTCAACTAAAGGGAAAGGAAAGAATGAAGAAAGAATAAAAATCCTTATTTTTTATTCGGAAAAGAAAAAAGGTCTTTGACTCTCAAACTACGACTAGAATATTAGAAGAACGAAAACTCAATACCAATGGATCTCACAACACCAATCTAGTGCCTTCCCTTTCTCTAACCACCACAAGGGAAGCATTTAGTATTCTCTAAATAAGTGATGCCGACATATACACTGCTGCCTTCGTAGTTCTGAAATGTGCAAGGCGCAGCAAGGCACGAAGGGTCCCTGGGGTCTCCGGCCTAGGCACAAGGCGAAGGCATGCACCTTTTATAAGCGAGGCACACCCTTTTCACCTTTATTTTCTAAATTGTGGAACATTAAATCAATAGAAGAAGCCCAATTTTAGTAAAATTTAAGGCAAAAATAAAAAAATAAAAGGCTGTAAACATGGAACTTTAGATGTAGACACAGGCCCACATGATTATAAGTTACTTGCAAAAGGAGGCCCTAAAGCTCACATGAAGACACAGAAGAAATACAAAATTTCTGTCAACAAAAAGAAAGAAAGAAGAAACAAAGAAAAGAGGGTGACTTAGTTGTCATCTGAAGGCTGTCAGCCTTGGGGGGCATGGTAACAGAAAAAAGAAATAGAAAGGAGAGGCAGCAGAAACACACGATGAAGAGAGGTGAAAGATTGCAGAGAGAGAGAGAGAGAGTTAACCTTGATAAGCTTCACCGGCAACAAATTTAGTGCTAGTAATCACTTGAGAATGCTAGTCGACAAAGTTTATCATAACTCCAATTGTCAGTTTTACCAAACTTTGCATATTAAGGTTTAACTAACTGTATTGGGGACTACTAATTTCGGGTACAAATTATAGCAATAAAAGATTTGGTCAAATAGTTTTAAATTTTAACTGACCAAAAAAATTGATTTGTCTTAAGTTGAAAAATCAGATCCTCTTATTTTTTTCACATCACTACAAAAAGCGGTCAAAGGAGCTGCTCTTATGCCTCGCCGTAGTTGGCTGAACACCTGCTCTTCCTTGTGTCAGTTTGTTCCTAGCTTAGCCTAGCCCTTCAAAGCTGCTATTCTTGGCCTAGACTTGTCCCTCGCCGAGGGCACGTGTTTAAAATTAAGGTTACCCTTGATCACTTTTGTCTTGGTATTTTCCTCAATGCTTCCATTATCATATACAAGGGTTTCAAACTCAGATCCGGATACCAGAATATGATCAGACTACTAGAACAGCTGAAAGCTAGGATGTTGGTCCATCTATAGTAATAATCTGATGCTAGGTACTTCTCTTGTAGCTTTACATTTGTTATTGGAAGTGAAGGGGATCTCACAGGATGGTGCAGCTGGACTGAAAGTGGTCAATATATTAGTAACGGAAGGCAGGCCTAGGTCAAGAAGGGCAGATAGGTCATGGCAGTGGTGTAGCTGGTATAGAATGGTTCCTGAGCTCAAGCAGAGGTGGAGAACTGGAGACGGAATATATGAGGGTGATCGGTGATGGCAAGATGTTGGTTGTCGTCAAGGTGGTGAGAGTGGTGGATAGAGGTTTGCATTGTTTATTGCATTCGAGGTATGGTAGCCACACACTATTTTCATTTGATGCAATTATAGTTTATCGTCAGGGTACAGCTCATGATTATAGCAAAACAAGTCGAGCCATTTGATTAAAGTGTCAGGGCAGCTTGTCCTTCAAGATGAATAATTAAGAATTTCAAAATAAATAATAAAGAATTTAATCTACTATTCTATTTATTTAAGTCAAAGTGCAGCTTCTTGTTAGCGCATAAATAGTCTTGGTGAGCTATTAAGACTTGGGTTCCACACATAACTGGATAAAAACTGACATGTAAATCAAGGACAGAACTTAAGAGTCCTATATAAAGATTTTGGTCTTCCAAGTATTACAAGGTTCAGGCAGGGATAAAGGTTATGAATAGCCTTGTTTACCTAGCGTTTTGAAAAAAGATTTTAATTATTGATATGCACTTCAGCTTGAGAAGTATTGCTTGCATTTTTCAAATTACTTACCATTTGATAGCTGATGGAAAATTAACCTTTATGCTTCAGTAAAGAAAATTTGAATTTTCACTCTTGGTGATTAAAGGAAATTTCTACAGGACAGTAATTAGACCGAAATCAAGGCTCAAAAAGTTGGGCATTTAAGAAGTTAAGAAAAATAAGTGTAGCAGAGATGCATATGTTGAGATGGATGTTGGGAACACCTTGAGGGACAAAATGGGGAATGTAGATATTTGTCGGAAAGTTAGTTTGCGAATATTGAGAATAAGATTAAGGAGACTCAACAACCTGGGTTTGGATAAAAGACATCAACCTGGGGATGTAAGGAAGGTGGAGGGTTAGGATGCCGGAAATTTCAAAAGATGCCAAGTGAGGCCTACGACTTAGATAGAGAGGGAGTCAGAAGAGGAAATAATAGAGGAAAGAAAGAAAATGGATTTGCAGGAGCAAGTGACAATGAAAAGAAGAAAATTAAAGAGGATATATGTGGACGACCATAGGAGATGAATTCTCAATTCATGCAACCGATACCATCCATGTTGTTTTTCAAAGAAAGTTAAAGATGGTAAACCAGCTCTTCGACTTCAAAGATTATTTTATATATGAAAAAATCATTAACACACCTGCCATACTTAACATGATAATGGTCTCCAAGATTAGCCCTGTGTTTACTTGTGTAAACTCAAATGACCTTGCCTAATTTGCATTGATAGTACATAAATATTTTTCAATGTTTCACAATTGGGACCACTTTGGTTACCTATTATATCTGGTTGTGCAAGTAAACAAAACAATTATCTTAGGGTGAAGTGCCTCATCCATGTGAAAACAAACATAAGTTGTAGTTGGTAATGTTTTATCAATTTGGCTTTGATTAATGGGTTTTATGTGGCATATCATGGTTGTACTCTTGGCATCTGTGGTAATTCTGGGTGGTTTAGGAGGGGTATTTTAACAGAATGAACATGTACATCTCATATTCAAGTATATACAAAAAGGTGGATTCATGCAAAACATTTTACAACAAGAGATAAAGCTAGAGATATAGAGACCAAATCAATACATCTTCAAAAGAGATAACAAAGCAACGTTACATGGAACGTGGGACGTTCCGGAACTTGGTAAGGGAACGGGAACATGGAACGTAGCCTTTAGAGTTCCCGGAACGTATAGTCATTTATTTTAATAGTGTTCTTTTAATTTTATAATTGATATTTACCATAAATTAATTACACATACATTAAAAAAAAAAAAAAAACTGATAAAGCTGGAAATTGTAATTAGTGTATTGCCCATGCTATACCACTGTACACAGTAAAATAAGTTACTGATTACTGTGTAGGCAATTTAATTGGAAAAGGGGACACGGGGGTCCACAATCTTTATTTATTGCTCTAGACTTGTTTATTTACACATTTCTTCATCTCCCTCCTCCATTGATGAAACCTTTAAAGTGTTTTAAGCTTTCAATTATACCTGAAATTATAAACAAATAATAACCCAATTGTCACTCAAGAGTTGCGACTTAGATCTTACTACAATCGGGTTCTCCGTCATCGACGAACCAGATCGCGAACCACCGCGAACTGGAACGCGTCAGATCCGCGTTTTGGTTCGGATGTTCCAGTACGGGGAACGTTATACCGTCCCGCGTTCCGGGTAACACTGTAACAAAGTTGGAAGTTGTAGCCCAAAAGCATGTAAGGCATAATATACTTACGTGGGAAGATTAAAGATTACCTTAAGAAAGAAATGAGACTGCCAAGGAAAAAATATTGCCCGGTTGTGTTTAATAAATTAACTCATTTACTCATTGTTTGTGGCAAAGAAAGAAGATTCTTAAATGCATAGAAGAAAGAGAGTTACGTTATATGAAGGAAAGGATGAAGCAACAGGGAAAGAAAAAAAAAAAGATTGTTCAATTTACGGAGCTTATGGACATATTCTTAGTAATATCATACATGATCTTTTTTATTGGAATGTAAACAATCTTGAAAGGGCACAAAGATTTACTATCTTTTAACTTATTAAAACTTATTTTAGTTATAATTGTACTTAGGTAACCCTTATACTGAACTTAACTGAACTTATTACAACTGAAACAAGTGAAATTAAGGTGAACAAGACAGGCCCTAATTTGCAACACTTCCTTTTTCGCTAAGGGCCCCACTATCATCTTAGTATTTCTTTCTCCTACTAACTCCAATTTCACTACTTTTATATTATTTCTCTTTACCACTACCAACAAAACATATCCCCGCCAGAACAATCATATTATAAATTATATTATAAAATCTCACTTTGGTCCACTACCAACTAAATATACCCCCGCCACATATACATTATATTATAAATTCTCACTTTGGTCCCCACCCTATATTTATTCTTAAACTATGTGTCAAATCTAGTGTTGTGAACTAGTGATTAATTTGAAATGGAGGGAGTAATTAGTTGTAAGAGAAGAGAGCGGATGGAACTATTGATTGTATTTGCATTTCATTCTGCGTAGGACAATGCAGCATGCATGAAGCACGGTAAGAATTTAAAGAGATAGCCTTCAAGACTATCGACTACATATGGGTTGACTATATATGTGTCGACTTTATATCATTGGAATTATAAAGCATATTAGTTTATCCTTAGGGTAGCATGTATTTAGATAGAATTTTAATAAAATGTATCTTATTTATTTGCTTCTAGTGAGCATGATGATAGAGCTTCTAAGAACAATCAAAAGTTGTTTTAAAATCCTGATTAGACTTGCATTCAGCTATCTTCAAGAGGGAGACCCATGCCCTTACTCCCTTGTGTGTTTATTGTATTTTGACTTATTTTAATTTTTGTTCTCAAACATTTTCATACAAAAATAAGTTTATTCTAGACAATTTAAGCTTTTGTTCAGACATCATAAGATTAAACAACGCTGTGATGCTCGCACTCGCTTATGTACCCAGCCGTACCCGTTTCGACGTGACCGGCCTGGTGTGGATACGGAATACTGGTCGGACCTGGGAAGGAGAAAGTGGACTCGCTGGTTCTGTACTTGTTCTTCTGCAAAAGGAATTTTTGACTCTTCTATAAGTGGGGGTGGGAGTAGGTGTGGGAAAGTGAACCATTAACCCATGTGACATAAAACTGCATTTATTATCTTTGACTTTTCAAACAGCTTTTGATTCTAACTTTTACAGTTATATACTTTCCCCATACATCTTATACTTTTAGCCCCTTTTTATTTGTATTCTTACTTGGTAAGCTGTACCAAAAAATTAATACTTCTACTTCATAACCATGAAACTTTACTTTATTAGTTTATTATACTAGACTTTTTTAATTATTAAAAAAATTCAGTAAAATACATTTAAAATTCACATAAACTATTTTTTAAATGTCATGCCCCCGAGTCCATATTTAAAATTTGGAAACTTCTTAAACGTGTCCCTGGATCCTTAATTTCAGAATTTTTTGAGTTTGAAACTTGGACCCTAGTCCAAGCATCCTAGGAACAAAGTACAGAGCCTCAAAGGTCATATGATAAGCTATGAAGCAAATTAAACAAAATGGTAAACAAAATCCCATTTTCATAAAGGCATAACCTAAAATTCTATAAATATTTCCAATTCATCCCTCAGGAGCAAGCCAAGCAACAACAAGCTAACCAAAGGAAAACTTACCGGGATATGGACAACGGGAGCACCACCAAAATAAGAAGAGAATAGCTCAGCATCTAACGTTGCACTCATCAAAATTAACTTTAACTCCGGTCTGTGAGAAAGTAGCTCTTTAAGCACAATAAGAAGAAAATCTGGAAAAACAAAAGCATTAATTAGTATTTGCTTACACAAGTAATACAACATGGGTATGAATATGATGTTTCCAGGATGTAGTTTCACCTTCATTCATCCCACGTTCATGAATTTCATCCACAAGAACATGAGTTATGCCCTTCAAAGTCCTATCAACAAGTAATCTTCGCAGCAAGATGCCTGTTGTGCAAAATAGAAGCCGTGTATCTCTCCCTTTCATTCCCTCCAGTCGAACTTTATAGCCAACCTAGAACAACGAAGAAAGTATGGACTTAAAAACCAAGTAAACTTACAGATGAGGTTAATAACAACAGAGCACAAAGCCTCAAACTCACAGATTCTCCCAATTTCTCCCCCCGCTCTGCAGCAACCCTTTCGGCAACTGACATAGCTGAGATTCGTCTTGGCTGAGTACATATAATACTGCATGAAGCTCCACGGCTAGATTCTATTTCAGACTCCAGAATAAACTGTGGAATTTGTGTAGTTTTACCACAGCCTGTTTCCCCAGAGACAATTATAACCTATTATATGACAGAAAAAAAAAATTATTTACAATCAGACATAGAGATAGGAGATAAACTTCAGCTTTGGTATGTAGCATCAGGGGGAAACGCCATATTTAGTAGAAAACAAAAAAAAAAAAAAAAAAAAAAAAAAAAAAAAAATCCAAATTAGGCTACAATCACCTCAGATAGTGGAAAGCACAAGAAAAATCAACTTAAATATATATTTAAGAAAAAAGAAGACAACGAAAAATTGATCAAGTAAAAGAATAACAAACAAAAATACATAAAACAGCTTAGAGTCCATGTAGGTTTCAATCACTGACATGGACCCACAAGTTTCCAGGTCCAAATTTCGAAAACAGACACAGACTATTTCCTGTCAAAAAAAAAAAAAAAAAAAGAAGATTAAATATTTAAAGAGCACAAGAGAGAGATTGAGATCTTGAAATCATATAAGAAACTGAACCCTTTCCTCTTTAACTCTTTAAATGGTCAGCAACAACCCCACCCCCTTCCCCCTTTCCTCGTTTTCCCTTATGTTCTATCCATTACCAGCTTCTTGTCAATAGAACCTTCTTCCTTCTGTTTCTTTTTGTGCCATCAGCCAGTGATGAGCAACTAGGATACTACCACACTGTGACCTCTCCCCAAGGATGGAAAACTTAAGTTTCACTCTTCTCAACAATTGATGGCATGAGTTCTAGATCTACAGAAGAATCTTCAGGCCAATCGAAAAATAGTCGAGAAAGGAGAAGAAAGAAGGGAAAGTCATAGAAGCTGACTTTGCACCAACATAACAGCAAAAGTGGAGTTATCCTAGCCCATCTGTCAAATTTGATGAATTATAACAAGAGTTACCTGATTACTTGATATAGCTGTTATCAGAGCATCTCTCTCCTTAAACGCTGGAAGGCTTCTGCGAAACTCAAGAATTTTCCTTCCTTCAGAGCATTCCTGTCACAAATTTAATACAACTCTATTAGAAAAATAAGAAGTACTAGATTGAACCTACTCTTAGGAGCAATAAATCTTCAGTTTTAGACAACAATTGTATACTGTAAGGATGAACCTGCCAAGCAAGCTGCTGATCACGAAGCTGTAAGTTTCTTCGCCTAATAATTCTCTCCATGACAACATTGCTAAGATTCAGAGGTTCTGGTTGCTCAAAGAGACCTTCATCGGCAGCTATACTACCACTACTGCTTGATCTTGAAAACCCATTGTTTTGTAAAGCATTTACACTCTTAGATTTATGAGAAAGGTAGTCAGCAAGAAAAGCATCCACTCTCCTTTGCAAATTACAATCTACTACAACCTGTGAATAGATTATAGCAAGAGCTAAGAGAGTAAGAAGTCATAAAAATGAGTTGTAAAGAGAATTGAAGATCTGAGGAATAGCAGAGTTGGCAGTATATATATATAAAGAAAGGCTCTCGTGAAAGCCCCTCCTTTATAAATTGTGTATTCTAAGATTTGTAATCGTATGTTTTAGATTTTACTAAGTCATATGTTTTAAATTTTCTAAAAAAAAAACATCATATGTTCTAAATTATTACTCATATGTTCCAAACTTTTACTCACATGTTCTAAATTTTACTCATATATTCCAAATTTTAAATCAGGTGTTTTAAATTTTTACTCATATATTCTAAATCTTAAATTAGATGTTCTAAACTTTAAATTAGGTTTTTCAAATATTTACTCACACGTTCTAAATCAAAAAAACAGATGTTCTAAATTATTACTCATGTAGATGTTCTAAATTTTTACTCATATGTTCTAAATTTTAAATCATGTGTTCTAAATTTTTAATCATATGTTTTAAATTTTTACTCGTGTGTTTTAAATTTTTACTCATATGTACTAAATTTTAGATCGGTTCTCATATAAGTATGGGTTCTTACATATGAACCTATTCGCATATAATATATTCTGGCAGCTCACTAACTTAGAAATATAGGAGAACAATAATCAATGCAAAGTAGAACAATGAGATGACAGCATCAAAGTGTATTGGGAAGTAGAAGCTGGAGTACCTCTCTCTGGGGACGCTTTTCATCAAGATCAAATCTATAGTTAGGCAGTGGAATCTTGCTAAATACAACTACTTTGATGTATGAATGGCTGCAAAAGGCAACATATAGTATGAGAATAGAAGCAGACTAAAGCAGCAAAATCTTTATCAAACTCAACATACCTATATAAACCCATACTATTTGCCAAAGAAGCTATCTGTTCAAAGTCACGTCTGTCTTTTTTATCCCTGGATATCAATTCTTGCTTATCCTTGTCTCGTAGAAGCATGTTAAACTTCCATTTCCATTGATCCACATTATCAGCAAATGAAGCAGGCTGAAACTACATTGAAATTTTAGTCAACATATTTCAAGACATCAGAAAATAATAGAGAAAAAAATTGACAAAGCCGAAAAAGCATGATAGAACTGATCAAGTTTACACACAAGCCCTCTTTCTCTCTTTCCCCTTGTTCCCACATAACCTTTATATTCTTGTTTGTGCTGGCATCAAGTATATTGTGGCCAGCAACCCTGTTTCTTAGATTTTGAAGTTGAATTTCTTTTCTTTAGGGTTTTTTTTTTTTTTTTAATCAATATTGCCTTTTCCTGAAATTGAGAGATTTTTTCACAATGCATAGATTTTTAATACAATCATAAGCCATCCTTTGTTTTATTGGGTTTGAGGTGCAATGCGGCACAAAGGGTCCCTGGGACAAGGTGCAATGCGGCGTAAAGGGTCCCTGGGGCCAAGGTGCAAAGCAAAGGTGCACATCTTTTGGAAATTGAGGTGCACCAAACTACCAAAGAGCCTAATTTATGCTGTAAACTAGTTGTACTTTCTGCCACAGAGAAGGTGTGAAAGGGTATCACCACTAAATTAAATGCCTTCTTTAAAAAAATGAAAAATACAATAAATAAATAAATAAAAAATATCAGAGAAGCGGGCAGGACTTGAGGAGGGGCTCACTAACTCGCTATTTGAGAGAGTGGTCACCTACCTAGATGGGAGTGACTAAGTGGGACAAAATATATAGAAGGGAGAAAGCATTTGAATTTATATAGGGCTCCTGCTTGCTACTGGTAGTATAAGGTAATTGAAGTAGCAGGGAAATAAAAGACGTAGATCGAAGAAGGGAAGAGATAAAGAATGAAGAATGAAAAAAACGAGAGAGAGAGAGAGAGAGAGAGAGAGAGAGAGAGAGAGAGAGAGAGAGAGAGAGAGAGAGAGAGAGAGAGAGAGAGAGAGAGAGAAGAGAGAGAGAGAGAGAGAGAGAGAGAGAGAGAGAGAGAGAGAGAGAGAGAGAGAGAGAGAGGCAACGAATGTCATACCAGCAACCACCAACTTGTCAGTTTTTTTTGGTCATTAGGGATTCCAAATACGGAGTTAGAATGAAGTAATTTCATGCAATTAACAGAGGCCTTTTGCTCGAATTTACATCTTAAAGATTGGGTTAAATTAAGTTTGAATATACTGTGGTATTATAATTGATTTCAACCCAAATTTTAGTTTACGAGGAAAAATTAATTTTAAGAACATACTGGATAGAGTGTGTAATTTTGTTGCATACTTGCATGTGAATAAATTTCAGGAGAAATAAACATCAACAGTCCCAATAATGGCAATTCCATTTTGAAAAGTTCCAATCTAGTTAACCATTTATACATGTGAATAAATTTCAGGAGAAATAAACATCAACATGTGTCACTTCAAATTTATTATCAATCTCACCCCTCTCCACCCCCTCTACCAAGACCCTCCCCCCCCCCTTCCACTAAGCCACCACAACTCTCTCTCTCTCTCTCTCTCCACAAGTCCAAACAACAACCTTCTATGACCAACCCATTCAGCCCCACACTCCGACATCATATCACCAACTCACCTCCCACCCACCCCTTCTACTCCCAAAAGCCCACTTTGACCGCCAAACCTTCTTCACCAGCCTACTCGGCATCCCTACCATCATAAACTCATCTTTAACGCTTAACTGGTTCCCCATTATTATTTTTTTTCTTCTTACAATCGCAATGAAAGCCAACCCCATTGCATTGCATCCCAAGTAATTACTCCCTCCCTCTCCTTTGCCGCCCTACCTAAGATAAGTTCAAACAAACATTGATATTTTATTCATGGTTATAGAACATTATCTCTTAAACTTTCAACATCACAAACTTTAAGCAGCTTGATTTCCTACTAGTTTCTTCACGAATCAAGTCTTAGGAAAATGGACAAAACCCAAGTTTCATACAACTACCAAAACTTGTTATGTTAGTTATGGCTAAAGGATGTTTACTTAAGCTACATTCTTATTAACAGCAATAAGGATGGTCGTAATGATACTAAAATAAATAATTTTAATAGGTTCCTTTTAGCAAAATAACTAAGTTGAACAAAACAAGTTCAGTTTAACAAGAATAAACTCTATAAGCTAAAGAGAACAAAATATTGAGGTTCAATCGAAGGAATTTCTAGCAAGTTGAGTCTTATAAGGTCATTTTTTACAATCCATAACTTAATCCCGCTCTATCTCCAATGACAAAGAATGTGTGGAAAAGCACTTCTTCACAATTAGTATTAGGTATTCCCGGAGTACCTAGCTAGGCCAATCTAATAAATGGGCTAGAAACCCAACTTAAAAAAAGCGCGCTAGAATTTATTTCATGAAATAACAAATTAACAAAACGAAATAACATAAAAACATACCCCTATATAAAAAATAAATAAATTAAAAAAAACGGAAGAAAAACAAATCAATTCATTTCACCATCCTCATTTCACTCTCCACTATCACTCATCTTTTTTCTCTATATTTCACCATTTGAAACAGTTTGAAATTCTCAATTGCATACATCAAAGACGTATTATATATTATTCCACTGAAGCAGCAAGTAGTTCAAGTCCATTAACTTAGTTAAAGGTATATATTATTCCAGTTACTAAGCATGTTATTTATTGCAATTGAACGTATTATTTTAGAACTACTCAATGTTATTTCAGATTTTATGATTTTATGAATAATCAATGTTATTTTACAAATAGAAACAAACTATTATTATAACCAGAAATATTATTTAAGAACTAATAAATGTTACTTCTGATTATATTATTTTAGAACTAATAAATGTTATTTTATAGATAGAATATATTATTTTAGAACTAATAAATGTTATTTTAGATCCGTAATGATTTCCGCATCAAAATCAACAAGAGCAAATTCATTACCACTACAACGAGCATTATCGACCTCAATACCTAGCAAATTGCGCAAAATCATCTTCAATTTAGAAAAGTAATTGAGGAAAAGAGATGAGAAAAAGAGTAATTGATTGGATCGAGTGAAAACTCAGAACGAAAAATTTGCAATTGTAAAAAAGAGGATTAAATTCATAGAGATTGAAAGAAAATAGAGGGAAACAAAGTATATCAGGAAGAAAAGGGAGAAAATTGGGAAGAAGGAGGGGGTAATAGAGGAAGAGGCTAACTATATACCTATTGCCCAAGCTAAAATCGACGTCGTTTTGACCCTGGAGTACCATGCTCCGGGAGTAAGACAGAAATTGCTCTTCTTCAAAGGTGTTATAGGAGAACATTACGCCTTTTCTCCACAATCAAAGTGGTCATTGCCACTAATAACCTCAATGCATATTTTATAACTAAAATAACATCACAATCACGGCAACTCAAATCTGCAACCATCGAATAAAGATATTGCCCTGCATTTCCTTCATCCCAAATCTTAAGTATTGTAGGATTTTAATATGATCCTATAATTTTACAATCCTATGATCGAATCCTACCGTTAAAGATAACATGGAGTTTTTTTTAAGTACATATGCAAATTTGTTTAAAGTATTCAGCCATAGCTACTAAATAGACATAATTCAAAGAAATTTATATTATTATGTCAATTGATAAATTGACGTTGATCATATTTAAAAGTAAACCATATTTTGACTAGCTTGAACACAATGTATCGTTAATTATTGCAGTTAAATGAAAATTGAACTTAATGGAGCAAAGTAATGTCAAAATGTAGGATAATGTATACTTTTTTCGCTTGTAAGTAGGATCATACAATCCTACTATCTGATTCTACCGATTCAACCCACCCACCTCAACGATCCCAGTTAGGATCTCCCAATCTTGATAACCTTGCCTATAATGAGAAGAAAAAAAAAAGTGCCACCCCTCTCCTATGAAATGTTGGCCTGAAATTATTTTTATTCTCTCTCCATCCGCCATCTCTACAGTTGATACACTTTCAAAAGTACTACAAATGCTTCATAAATGGCAAGCTAAAAGCAAGTGAGACCAAAATATTACTTCCATTATGCTACAAAATAACATCAATAACCCTTTTAATCATTATAATTATAAGGCAATACTTGCTACACTCTTCAAATTCCATGCAACATTCAAATTAATCTACCTTAAATAAAAACCAGCAACAATAAATTAAATGCAGCAAAAGTGAGAGTACTTACCCCAGAAGAATACGAAGGCGGCTCAAACTCCCCGAATTCGCGGTCAGACCCCTCTTCAGAAACTTCATCAGCAACCGAACTTGGCTGATTATCACTAACTTGACGATCATACTGAAACAAATTACTACTCTTCGGTTGACTATAGAACTTATAGTGAAAACTATTCGAATTTCCATTCCCATTCCCAAATCCCTTACTCTGTTGCTTCGGATTAGGAGAAGGAGACACATTCCGCTGTTGATTAAATTGAAAATGCCCAATTCCACCACTTTGATTCTGACTATTACAACAAATTCTAGCATCAAAATTAGGGTTAGGGCTTGAATTAACAGTTTGATGATTGTCGATACTACTGCTGCGAACTGGAGATTGTGAGCCATTGGGAGGAGAAGCCGGAGAAGGGACGGTGATAACAGACCTGAGCCGCTGGTGCGGTGGCACGTACACCGTAGACGGCGGCCGATCTTTCATTATCTGTAGGCGTATTTCTCTGCAAAATTTAAGGGTTTTATTGTGATTGAATTTGAAGGGTAAAGTGTGAAGGATGAAGATGAATTTAGGGTTTTAGTGTGAATTGATGAGAAGGAAGAAGATGATGGTGTAATGGGAGTTAGAGTTGATTGTTGTGTGTCAGTTGAACTGGTAACGGAAGAAAGTGTCAAAAATACAATGCCTGACCTCTGCTGAGGTGTGTAAATTCTGCTTCAGTTACTCCGCAGTTTTTAACTCCCTCCGTGTTTCTATTTCTGTTTTTGGATAGTATGTTATACCCTTATATTTTTAACTTTATTCATTGTACTTTCTAAATTACTCTTAAATTTTACATATTCCTTGCACTTTTTTCCACTTTCGCTTCTTAACTTTTGTTTATAATTATACTTTTTTTTTTAATGTGGTTCCTCCACTTTTTCCTTCCATTTCTTAAATACTGTAAAAAAACACAAACAAGAATTATAAATTGAGACGGAGGGAGTATATATACTATACTAAAGCGATACTTTTTTTTTCTCCAAAAGAATTATAATCCGATCTATTCTTTTTTCTGGGTTTTTTTTTAATCACCTCCTATTTATTTGCTGCAATTTGGTTGGTTAGTTAGTTTGCTATCCAAGTTTATCCAATTAAAATTGTTATCCTAATGATTTCAATTAAACGTAGTATTTTGCTTCTTGTGGTTTTTTTTGTTTTTTTTTATTTTTTTTTATTTTATTTTTTTTATCACCTCCCTATTTTTTATAATATTGATCATTTTTAACATAGATATACTGAGTTAACATCTCAGGCATCGCACAGGTACTACCTAGTATTATTTAAGCAACCAGAGTATTTTTGTGTCGCAAAGGTGTGTAAATTCAGGCTCGGTAACTCGTTAGGAATTCACCAAGCAAAGCTTGGTGGAGTTGATGGAGAGCTGAAGTCATAAGTTCAAACCCCCACTAACTACATTTGCTTGCTTGGAAGCAGGGAGATTTCTTTACCTCCCCCCTCTACTCTCAAGTTTGACATGCGAAATGTCGGTTCCGTAGAATCCTTCATCTTACCTTAAAAAAATGTTAGAAATTATTTTTAAGTAACCATTTTTTTAGGGTTGTATTTTAGTCAACCTTGAACCGTATTTGAAACATTGTGACCTGTTAATTCGAGTACTTATTTATTTCGGTTCAGTTCAGTCAAATATTAGTCAGATATAAGGAAAAATTACACTTATTTTATTCATTTACACCTAAAAGAAAAGGTTTGATTGAGGCTAGTATTGTTATTATGTTAATGCAATTTTATGCTACTATGTAGCAATGAATTCACGAGAAAAATCAAGTTAATAAGCCTGATTTACACAATTTGTAAATCAATGGGTAGTATATTCATTGCATCTAATAAATTGGGGGTAGCTTTGTGATTTTATCTTTTTTTTTTTCTTTTTTTAATCTGAAAAAGGTGTCCCTTATGAATTCACTTGGGTAACTTTGCATTGGGGTTTGTGCAATATCTAGACAAAGACATATAGCATAGTACACGATGCTACTTTGGATTTGAGGGTTTTGTTAGGTTTTCAGCAATTCTACACAATAAGAATTACTTAAAGATGGTGGAACAAAACCTAAGCAGCGTATAAATAATGTTTAATTATACAACAATCAATACTAATCAAAGTATTCCAAGCCAAACACTAATATCAAAGTAATTCAGAAATTACAAAGAAAATACTAATATGAAAGATACTAAAACTTGCCTCTACTCCAAGCCAAACAAATCACCAAGAACATGAGAATACCAAGGACCACGTGAGTCTTCAATACCGGATACTTATCTAAGGAGTTTAAACACTTTCCTAAAGTGATAATTTCCCCCACCACGGTGCTTGGGTTGAAACTGGAAATTCACTTTGAGATACAATAGACAACACTACAATCTTTGCACTAAGATTTGTAGCAAGATGATCAAATTCTCAAAGATTAACTTAATTGATAAAGTTTTCTATAAGAGATTGCAAGTTTCTTAGAGAAAAGTGTGAAGAAGAAGAATACTTGGAGAGGAAAAATCAGAGAGAGCAAAAGAATCTAAATAATCTATTCTTTTAATTTCGCAATTAAAAGAACAAAAGAAACCGCAACTGCCAGGGCCGCGGGCGCGACATCCAGTAGGAGCAGGTGCTCCTCATGGCCCCGCGGGCGTGGCAATTCAGCCCGTGGGCACGGACAGGGAAATCGCAGATTTCACCCAACTTTCTGGAGATGTCTGGATGCGCCCATGCCGCGAGCGCGACCACCATGCCACGGGTGCGACTCATAATGCCGCGGGCGCGGCTTTCCGTGGCTTCCCAGCCGCTGCCTCTCCATTCAAAGGAGAGGGCTCTCTTCTACCACACTCTAAATTCCTAACAATCCTCCCCCATTTAGAGTGTGTCATTTAAAACTTTCTCCACTTCTAACAATTAAGCCACATCTCATGCCTCAATACCAATGTCCCTTCGGATTGAATTGACACCTAGTATAATACACTTAACGATGATCATATTCCGCGATTTCCATATGGATTGAATCACACGAATATATCCAACCATTCGAAGGTGAAGTACACACAAGAAAAATCGAATTTATCATCAGTTGACACTTTTATACAGCCATGTGTCCGTATCTTTCATAAGTTAATCAAAGTCTATATGTCCATCTAGACTTCTTAAAGCGGCTAAATTTCGAACTTATATAGGTAGGTTCTCATATACGTAATAGTGCCCTTGTGACAAGACACCGTCATCTAGAGCTTCTCAACTCTAGATCTTTGAGAACTTTGAATAGACGCTACCTAACACATCACAAGTAACATACTAACATGGGTCACTGAGCATTGCTAACAAACATAAAAAAATGTAATTCAACCACATTGAATCTAAGACTTGATGTTTCTTCAAGTGTTAGATTGGGTTTCACAAATTTGTGTTTTTGGACATAAACCCATTCCATTCAAAGCAAAATTGATGGAATTCTTTGGCATTGCTTTAGTAAAGCAATCCGCCAAATTCAATTTTGTAGGAACATAGTCAAGACTTATGACCCCATCATTGATAAGCTCTTTCACTAGGCTATGCCTAAGTGAAATATGCCGAGATTTACCATTATACACTTGACTATATGCCTTTATTAAAGCCAAATTCGAATCACAATGGATTGCCACCGGTGACATTGGCTTAGGCAATAAAAGAAACTCTAACATGAGATTCCTCAACCACTCAGCTTCCTTACTAGCTGAGGCAAGAGCAATAAACTCCGCTACCATAGTGGAATCGGCAATGCAAGTTTGTTTCTTGGAAGACCATGAAATGGCACCTCCCCTAAACATGAATACCCAACCACTTACAGAAGAGTCATCCTCTTTGTAAGTGATCCAGCTTGCATCAGAATATCCTTCTAAAACCGAAGGAAATCCACTTTAAGACAAACCATAATCCAACGTACCCTTAAGGTATCTCAAGACCCTCCGAACTGCAAACCAATGTTGTGCACCCGGGTTACTAGTAAATCTACTAAGTTTTCCCACAACCAAGGCAATATCAGGTCTTGTACTTGTCATGGCATACATCAAGGATCCAATTATCCTTGAATATCCCAATTGGGAAATTGTTTTCCCCGAATTCTTAACTAATTTAACAGTTTGTTCCATGGGGGTGTTTACAGGACACTTATCAAACATATTAAACCGTTTGATCATCTTCTCAATGTAATGAGATTGACTTAGAATAAGTCTTCCATTGTCCCTAATGATTTTGATGCCCAAAATGACATCCGCCTCCCCCAAATCCTTCATCTGAAAAGATGAGGTTAAGAATTCCTTGGTCAATTCTTCTTGTTGTAGACTTGTACCAAAGATAAGCACATCATCAACATATAAACAAATGATGACACCATGACCTTTGTCATCAAATTTTCTACATATACACTTATCAGCTTGATTCACTTTGAATCCGAAGGACAAAATCGTGTCATCAAATTTCCGATGCCACTGCTTTGGTGCTTGTTTAAGTCCATACAATAACTTAACCAATTTACACACCTTATTTTCCTGTCCTTCCAAAACAAACCCTTTGGGTTGTTTCATGTACACTTCTTCCTCTAGATCTCCATAAAGGAATGTCGTTTTAACATCCATTTGATGAATCACTAGATTATATACCGAAGCCATTGCAATCAATAACCTTATGGAGGTAATTCTTGCAACTGGTGCATAGGTATCGAAATAATCAACACCATGCTTTTGCCTAAAGCCTTGGATAATCAATCTAGCTTTAAATTTCACTATGGAGCCATCCGGTCTCCTTTTCCTAGTGAAAATCCACTTGCAACCAAGAGGCTTGCAACCGGGAGGTAAATCCTCTATGACCTAAGTATTATTTCCCATGATGGAACACTACTAGAAAACAACCAATTAACAACAGAAAAAAAATCCGTCGGAAAACCCTGAAATTCCGTCGGAACGCACCGTCGCAAAACCTGTTGTAGGAATTTCACGATATTCCGAGGAAAATTCCGTCGGAAAGGTCCATTCCGATGGAATTTCCGACGGATTTTGTTCTGTCAGAGTCAAGTTTGACTTATTTGGAAAGTCCGTCGCAATGTTCCGACGGAATTTTCCGTCGGAAGGAGAATATTTCGACGAAATTTTCCGCCGGAAAAGTCAATAATAAAAAAAAAAACAGCCCTGCTCACCACCACTCCACCACCCTCTAACTCTAACCCTAAGCCCAGACCACCCAGCGCTACCTACCACCACTGAACCCAGACCCACGTATCACCTAGCCCAGACCCTCCTAACCCAGACCCACCTACGCCTCCCTACACCACCAGCTACCACTGAACCCACCCACGCCTCCCACCACCCTAACCTGAACCCACCCACCGGACCCACCTAACCTGAAATACTCTCCTAATCCGACCCCACCCACTAGACCCACCACCTTAGCCGCCAGATCTACAAACCACCACCGAAACCACCATTCCCCACCCTCCCCAACCACCACCGAAACCCAGCACCCACACCTAGCACCGAAACCCACCTATAACTACCACCCAGCACCGAAACCTACCTAAAACCACCACCCAGACCAAGCACCGAAACCCACCTAAATTCACCAACCATACCCAGCACCGAAACCCACCCAATAAAACATCAAAAAATTTGGAAAAAACAATCGAAAAAACATCAAATATCTAACAACAAATTAATGAAAAAAAATCGAAAAAAACAACAAAAAAAACCGAAAATACAACAAATTAATTAAAAAAAAGATACGTACCTTAATTCGACCACACAAAACCTCGAAATTGGGTTTACGAGGCCAAATTCGACCATGAAAACTCTAGATCTA